ATCGTCGTCCTAAATTAGCGATATGAACTTCTGAAAGAAACAATTATTTCAATGAAGCCTATACTAGAAACGCTTTTTTAACGATACTTGCAAATAATACAAGGTGTGGCGCCAAAATAGGAACAAATAAAACATCTTTTCCAAACATATTTTTCATTGGAGAAACGAAAAGGCTTTTTACAAAATTGTTTGTAGGGTTATTCAGAACACATTTACTCAATATATCCCCCATTTGCGTGAATTATTGCTTTCAGTCTCGGTTTGAAGCGTTTGCAGGCTCGCTTTAATGCGTCACGGTTCATATCGGCGGATGACGCTTCAATATCGGCTTTCAATGACGCGACGTTTGGATATCTGGACTTCTGGTGACCCGCTCAACCACGCTCCATACATAGAAGTCCAAGGGATTTAAGTCTGGGCTGTTGGGAGGCCAAAATTCTTTGGACCAAAATATGACATTGCTCGACAACCAATTTTGCCAAACCAAACCAAACCAAATGGCTGGGTTTAGAAGAAACAGTTTCACTAAATTTTCCAGAACACGCAAATAAACTTCTTTTGTTACATTTCCCACTTTGTTAAAGAAATGGAGGGGCATGACATCACTCTCATTGGACACAACACTTAGCACGTAAACATTTGTCGAACATTTTGTTCTGGAAACATCTTCAGGGTCGTGGACGAGCCAGCTGTCATTCCTTTGATTTTTTCTTCAGGAAAACACCTGATTCATCTGGTAGCACTTAAGGAACACGAAAGCAGTTTACACCGTTCAACTCGCTTTGCCCTGGCAGCTTAGGGAAGCACTTGTTTCACTTTAATTGTATAAGACTTGTAACGGAGGTCGTTCTCGAAGAATCGACGTATAGTTTTTTCACTCACATCGACAACTGATGACAATTTTCGGATCAACTACCCCTGACACTCAAGAATCAGCTCCTGAACCCGTTGAATGACGTCTGGCGTCTTGGCAACGTGCTCGTTCGGGTGAGTTTTCCTCGCTGGTATTTCAGAACCTTCGTTGGACTTCTCCAACTCATTATACTTAGTAATGACATCATATACAGTCAATCTCTCTGTCTCTGATTCAACATTGGGACTATTTTAAGGTTATGACTGTTTAGTACATGCTTCAAGCTGTTCTGACGCCAATGGCGACCTCTACACGTGATTTAGAACGGCGGGGAATTTCAAATCGAATTCTGTCCGGATTTTGGTGCCGCACCCTGTATATCTATTACTAATTGAACTAAATGAAATCATTACATGTATCAATTAAAATGAAAAAAAAGTCACAGAACCAATTAATGTTAGATTGCGCTAAAGAAAATTATATCAATTTAATTATTAATTGTACCTTCAAACAATGTTCATCCTGTAAACCTAAATGTCCTTGCAAGTTCCTTCAAATGCATGCATTAAACACCATTAGCGATTGTGACTGATTGATTGAAGTAGCAGTGACGTAAATCATTAAAACTGCGCTTTCAGATTAAATGATTAAAAGATAGTTGCTACTAAATACGGATCGGTACATTATCAGAAGTGATTGTATGGTCAATTTTAATAAAATGTGTATCAGAGTATAGCATATTCAGATGCAGATTGTTTTCTTATCAGAACAAGATAGTTTATTGCAAAACTTTTGTTTTCTAGAGCTAAGAAGGCAAAGACATTATAGAAACACTTTTTTTAAATCAGTATACATTTTATAATATGTACTTTTACATTACCCTAAAGATATTAAGCTAACTCATATTGATTCGAAAACTTTCCTAAATTCCCATCAAATAAAGTTATACAGAGTGTTCCCGAATGTTAACCACAAATTCAAGAATCCATAGAGTAACTACAAATTATGGCACTTTGTTGTATATACATACAGGGACGAAAAGTCTCCATGGTTCATCGGCCGTTACGTGAGAGCGATAAAGAAAGTCATAGAAATCCGTGCGCTAGAGAAAGATGGCTATAATGAAGGCGTCTAATAGTCACCGCCCATTTCGCCCTTCCACAAATAAGATCCACTTCGTATTTGTGGAAGGGCGAAATGGGCGGTGACTATTAGACGCCTTCATTATAGCCATCTTTCTCTATTGCACGGATTTCTATGACTTACTTTATCGCTATCACGTAACGGCCAATGAACCATGGGGACTTTCCGACCCTGTATATAAACTTGTAAGAGCCAATATTTAAATGAGAAAAATAATCTGGCTGAGGCCGAGTCCTTCATTTATAACACGTTATTGTCTATCATCCATAATTTTAAGTTGATTTAAACGTACTATCTTTACAAACTGCTAAATCTTGCCAAACCGGTAAAAGCTATGTAAAAAAGTTAAGAAATCATTTCCTTTAAAAATAAAACTGGCATTTTCAAAATGACAAAAGACATTTTTTTAATTGGTATGTCACAATGTTTTAAGTTAAAACAATATTTTCAGGTTAAATGTCAATTTATTCAAGTTTGTACACACAAAATTTCATTTCCATATGTTCATTTACTCAGAAGATACACAGGGTGTTTCAGAAAGACCTCCCGTAAATACAGGGACGACAAAAAATAAGAATTTTTTGTTATATGAACTATAAGTCTGTCTCCTCTTGTTTTCGAGATACAAAGCAATAAAATAACATTTTTTAAACAGAATTTTTACGAAAATTTCCAAACGGTGCGAAATATTTTTATGAAATTTGGTATTCCAGGGTTTTTAAGGACGCCAAATACGCTGATCAAATTATTTTTTGGATATTCCATAGAGGGCGCTAGTTATGCTACATTCCTATTACATTTTAAGTTCTAATTTTTTTAAGGTTAGGTTTTTTACCATTCGGACTCCAATTTCTAATGTACAATTTTATTTTCTAAAAATAATGTACTCGTATTAGAACGTCCTAATGTGGACGGTTTTCGAGAAAAAAGGCTTTTAATTGAACTCACAATATTCTGGTGTATAAAACAAATGACTTTTCTCAAAATAGGCTTATGTCAAAATTTATTGATGGACGTCTTATAAACACCACATATATTTTTAGAAATATTTTAAACTTTAATTAACTTTGTAACTACAGTCACTAACAATCATAAAAATTTTGATATAAGGTTAATTAGAGTTTAAAATATTACTAAGAATGTATGCGTTGTTTATGAGACATCCATCAATAAGTTTTATACATAAGCTTATTTTGAGAAAAAGTCTCTTATTTTATACACCGTGATGTTGTAATAGTTCAATCCAAAGCCTTTTTTCTCGAAAACTGTCCACATTAGGAAGTTCTAACAAAAGTACATTATTTTTAGAAAATAAAATTATACATCATAAATTGGAGCCTAAATGGTAAAAAATCTAACCTTAAAAAAATTGAACTTAAAATATAATAGCGCCCTCTATGAATATCAAAAAAACAAATTAGACCAGTCTCTTTGGCATCCTTAAAAACCCTGGAATACAAAATTTCATAAAAATATTTCCCACCGTTTGGAAATTTTCGTAAAAACTCTATTTAAAAAATTTTATTTTATCGCTCTATCTCGAAAACAAGAGGTTTGTCATACTATCACCCCATGTGGAGGTCTTTCTGAAACACCCTATATGTTTATATAGGAAAGTGTAAGTATTACAGTGGAAAGTATTTTTCAATAAAATTCGGGATACTCTGTGTATAGACTTTGTTTGATACCAAATAATTAAATACGCTATAGACACGCTAGAAACTGAAAAATACACTGGGCGTATTAAAATTATTAAATAATATTGATTCATGTTTTTAATAAGTATTATTTTGGACAAAGGCCAATGCGAAACTCAACAAAAATGCATTAATTGATGTATTGTTTCATTTTTTTAAAGCAATTTGAATTAGTTACATCATATGGGACAATGGTCAATTGCCAAATTCAACCATGATATATGAATTAAGATATTTATACATTTTAGGGTTTTTGGAAATAATTTGAACTTTTAAAGTAACATAAACATTTAAATATGTTCCAATGGTTTCTATTTGATGATTTTTATAAACCTGTAATTAGATATGATTAGTTTACTGAAAAAGTATTTTTTTCGTAATAAATCATTTCTAACCGCATATAATTTTACTACAATATCTAAATTAATTCAAATCTTTCATATTTCAAATGACAAATAGTTTGAAATTGTTTTAGCAGCCATCGTGGTTTTGAAGCTTTAAGAAGAGCATCACTTATATGTTGCAGTATGAGTCAAAAGTGTTGCATTTGTAAACCGTTAGAAGCACTTTACGATATAGCCAAAAAGCGTGTCGGTTGTAGGCAAATTACTCTAAACGTTCACAGTCAAAAGTAGTACAATTTCAGTTTTACTGCATATTGTCAAACAATAACAAATAAAATTTTTATCAACTCTATAGCTAAAATGAGCTTAAACATTCCATGAGTTGCAAAATCTGTTGCAAAATAATCATTATACAGTCAGATATACTTTCAGTATATCTGTTTTAGACGTAACTATTTACAGTTCGACAAAATGAGGAAAACAAATTGCTAGTTTGATCACAAAATGTTAGCTATATTTATATTTTTTTCTGCATTCACACAAAGTTCATAATATTCAAATTTGTATACACCTTTAACCATTTTCAGACTAACTAATCGCTAAAATCTTAACGTGCACGCTCTTGGCAGTTGATAAAAAATATCAGAAATGTACAACTGATATAATAAAGTGATACGTACCAAATTGTTTCTAATTAGATATGTAAATGAATAACAATTATTATTTAATGGAATTTGAGGTTATCTTCATGTAGTTCCTTTACGAGCAGAGTTTCGGAGAGTGAAAAAAGTTAGGAGGGAGACCATTATCAAGTATGTGACCGTGCCCTTTCATAAACACCTTTTACAACTGTTATCATATCGAACAAAGATTAAACGTAATCTACGATGCTTATTTACTTTAAACGGATTAACAGCAACGTTCTGTACAAAAGCCAAATCTTATATTAATAAACGAACTCACCACGTTTTAGTTTCTCCAGGGGTTCGTGGTGCAGCGAGGGGGTGTGGGGGACGACGCCGTGATGGTGGGGTGGCTCATGTGACGTCACGTGGTGGCCCAATACTGATGATGATGTCCCGCTCATTATGCCGGATATAGCAGAACTCACAGAGACGGCGGCATCGTGGAGGTGGTGATGGCCGTGGATGTCTGAGTTCGCTGAAGACGTCGTGACGCCCGTCACCAGATCCTGAAGGCATAGCGCTGGATCTGACAGAGAAGACTCTAAACGTTCCATGTTAGAATTTGAACGTAACGTCGGGAGGAGAAATGCTTGTTCAGTTCTTTTTTTTATTGACTGTAGGTCACTGCCAGCGTCATGCCAGTCCTGTAATAATAGAGTTTTCATTAAGAAATCATTGGATTAGAGATTAGTATAATATGTGCACGTATAATATCAAAGGTTATCAGGTGGGCCTATCGGCTGTTTTAGATAAGTTCATTTATCTTTGCGATATCGATCGAATGGTTAGGATTGTATTTCGCAACCTATATACGGAAAACCGAAGTAGGTTTAATTTTAGCAAGTTTCTATTTTTACCACTCTTCTAGATTTAATCAGGAAAGTCAGTTATCACAAAAATGATCTCGTATTTAAGAAATTTCAATTTCCTGTTTCAAAATTTTAAAAAGCACTAACGAAAAAGGAAAAATAGTAGCATTACAAACATTACAAATTGTCAATGGTTCTCAGTAAAAAAAGTCATAAAACATTTTACATAAGCATATACGTACATCACAAGAAAATAGAGATGCAACTGCTAATACATATAATCCGTCATCTTCCATTTAATTGTAATTGAGGATCATGACATATTTTCTATTAAAATAAATATATTTTTAATCATACATATAATGATAAAAAACTTAAGGGATTTTTAAGAATGTGATAAAATTAGACTACTATTAAAAACTTTTCCATAATTACTTTCAAATACATATTCGAAAGTTAAAGTTACGATATCATATATTTTGCTGCTCATTAACTGAACGCATTGCTAAACAATTTTGAGATTCATGTTTTGATCAATATATAATTAAGGGTAAAAATGTGTCAAAAGCCACTTATGACCAATAGAAAGTAATTAACCGAATATACCTCAGTAGTATAATATTTTCCTAATAAGTTACAAGTAAGGAAATGTTTTGTTTAATTTTTTTTTTATATAACTTACTTTCAAAGAAACCTGCTATAGGAAAATTTCTGGGACAGCCAAACTTGAATATAAACTTCTTCATCTTAAATGTGGAAGAACACTAAATTGTTTTTAATTTTTTTTGTAAAAAGTGTTTCTTTAGTAAAAATTTTGAGAAATAAGACATCTCAATGTAATACCGAAAAGATAAATTCACAAAAACATTTTTATTTATTTAATGGTGCCAGTTGGGCTAAATTGTAAAAAAATATATTTAATTTGGTTACCTACAATTTAGCAAAAAAATTCAAGTTTAATTTAACTTTGAATGTCCGTAACTTTTTATATACCTATTCCGTTAATTGGTTTGTTTTGGAAAGAAGAAGATTTTTTTCTTTTCACCTGAGTATGACGCCCAGTATATGTTAAAATAAATAATTAAGAATTTCAGTTGGAAATAAGTCTAAATTTAATTAAATGATTATAAAAGGGAATCAACATCACAAAAGTACTAAATGTTGATAAACGATGGTAATTTCTAAGTACATCTTCTTTTCTTTGTCTGTTAATTTTGATTTTTATAACAAGAATTTATTCAATACTATAATTCAATAGGTTAAATCATGTTAAATTTCGATTTTATTACGAAAACAGATCAAAAGATATAATATTGATAAATTTTATAAGTATTTTAATAGCCCCATTTTCTAGAAGTATTTTCTATAAAGAAAAAAGATTTTAAATATTTAATAATGCTTAATAAGTAACAACTTTATTTTCTGTCTATCTATTTTCATGTACAGCACAAGAGTAGCAAAATACAAATCGACAAAAACATTTTCTTATCTTAACATCTGATATTTTAAGTATTGACAGTGAAATATATGTACGGAGAGTAAACTTAGGTGAGGATTATATTCAGTTTCTTTATTTTTGGTTTTAATTGTAACAAATGAGACAAATTAAATGAAATTTATGCTGAAATTCCATAAAAACCGCCATCTTCAATAATATTTTTACGTATAAAGTTGTTAATTTTTTGGCAACATAAATACTATCAACTTCTAAGTTGAACATTCTAGTTTCCGTTAATTATTCATTGCTATTTATAATATAAACAAGGTTCAAAATTTTTATCTTTGAACTTCCTTAAACAATGTATTAAATAGGAAACTGAAATAAACATTACATTTTAGAGTATTCACTGTTTTTTAATTCAAGATCCGACGGTAAAATGAGATATCTAAATTCACATCAAATCAATTATATGCCTACAACTATTTGTAATATCTAAATAATATCTCAATAGCCTTTATTATGTTTTCAAAAGAACAGTATTATCCAAAAATTACTTTATGACTTCGTTAATTAATTAAACATAGGATAATTAATCCGGCAGTTTTCGGTTCATTTTCGATTTGCCGATAAATTGCGAAATCTAATACTTTTTAAAAATGAGAAAGTATAACTAGGTAAAGAATTAATCTTGACCATACATCATGCAAAGACGGTTGAGCTTTACACATAAACATTTTTTGCATCTGTCTATTATCGTCTAAACCAAGTGTACATTTTATTCTTAACTTTCCACGTTTATCGATATCGATAACGTATCACCATGATAAAAAGTATAAACGGGTACACTTTCAATTCATTGGCGCAACAAGTTACATTTTTGTTAATTAGAGACGCTTTCAACAATATGTATATCTGTAGATAAAAATTGGTATACTACATTTTCATTGATTTATCTTTACAGCAATGAATACATATTATTACTCTAGTGTTATGTTATAAAAACATAAAACAAATAGGTGCTTATAAAGTAAATTTAATAAATAACATTATAAATTACATTTTTCTTGTTTGTCGTGTTTCATTGGAATTCCTAGCGATGGTATTATTATTATAGTGATAACGATTTCACTAGAAGCTTCAGAATAATTAGGGATTGTCATTATATTTACCTACATTTTTGTCGCTAAGTTGGCAGTACCAACAATAATAGTCCGTGCTAGTGGCTTAAATATAAATCTACAATACGTTGAACTTAATAACAATGAGTCGACAATGTTTTGACGAATCATAAGGTAGAATTATTTATGTTTATCAGTAGCGTACAATCGATGGCAAAGAAATAATAAAAGGAATTTTTTATTTTCAAACCTTTGATTGAATAAAAGATTGCTAAGTTGGCTTCAGAAAAGAAAAGGTTTTAATACTGTCTGGTGGTGATTACTGAATAAATGTAGGCAATTTTACAGATGTTATCCATCAAATTAACAGAAACTAATGTTTACTTATGACAAAGGAAGTAGGTGTTGAACAGTAACAGTACGCATTTTCTTACTACATTTGAAAAAGCAAGATAGTATTCGACATTGTGAGAAATAACTTTAATGAATGGCGTCTTTGCGTCATTGTTTTTGCACTGTAAATTTTAGAAATATGGAAAAGTTCGGTGTGATGGCCTGCAATTCGCGGTTCATACAAGGGACGTTCTTTGTATCGAGCAAATGCTTACCTAAACCGTAGAACATACATCTAAAACCGAATAAATTTGGGGAAGTCACTTTTTGTGGTGGAAAAGAAAGGAATTAATTTTCCGAAATCCGGATAAAGAATGCACAAATCAGTTACAAAATCACTCAGTGGCGGGATCACTTAAAAGGTCGTAAGTAAATCCAGGTGCGACGTGAACAAAGACCAAAAGTCGGTTAAGTCCATGAAAAAAGGTACGGAGCTTAAAAACAGCTTTGGCCAGGTTTAGACCGGATCAAGAGAACGTCGCGACGGAGCCAGCGTCGGTCTGAGAGCTTTGCGAATACTAAGCCGGTGCTTCCATCCCCTCTCCTGCACCGCACCACGCCACCCCACTAATTTGATACTAGAACAAGCTCCAATCACTTGACGGTATTTATTTTATCATTAGCGGCCGTAATTGACCTGCACCGAAAGTGGAAGAAGCTCCATTGCCATCGTAGTAAACCGAGTCTTAAAGGTTATGGAAAAATTTAATCACGGCCATTTGGAAAATTGATTCGGCTTGTTTCAAAATGTAATGGTACGATACTTTGCAACCGGATGGCTCCAGACGCACATATAGATTTTCTAACTGATTCACTCGCATCATAAAAAATAAATTGACTGGGACGTGGTTTAATATTTTACAAATTAAATAAATCCAACGCTTTCTAAATTTCGTATATACGTATAAATATTTCAGAGGGTATGATACATTGCATCACTGTGAGAAGAAAAGTGTGTATAGGCTTATAGAAAACAAAAAAGCTAATAGAAGTAATGGTACAGATAAATATAAGGCGTTAAATTAAAATATATATACAACGCATGTAAATATCTCCCATTAATATAAAATTTTAAATTTGGTTTATTATTTATTTATTTATTACCTACACCTACTCAACGCGATGAACCCACTTACAGAGCAGGGAAAAATTACATAAGAAAGTTAACACAATAAATTATTATCTTAACTCAATAAAGGTTACAATTCATTTTTATAACCATTTATGTTAATCCAGTGACATATATGTTGACATACTTTGTCAGGAAAATCCTCAAAATTTCATCAATACTGAGCAATTTGGAAAATCGATTGGTCTCTTAATTCCTAATATTATTTTTAAAAAAGTCCCTTGCATTTTATTCAATAAAAAAGAAATTTTTGACTTACAAGGAAGGGTCCCCAAACGTCCCTCACCAATTTAGCTAAAACTTAGAGGATCAAAAAACATCAAAAAGTTTGTCACATTGAAAATAAAATTATCTTAATATATGGGTGACTTACCCCCTTGATTTTCTTGAAAAATACCGAAATATATCAAATTCAAAACTCAATTTAATAAAGTACAGAAGTAATGTGGTGAGTATTTGAGCTTTTCAACATTTTTGAAGGGCAAAACAAACACAAAAAAACATATTTACCCCAATAAAAAAATAAAGGATGAAATACTGCGCACAATATCGCATTCCAATGCAAGATAAAATTGTCAGTTGGTTACATAAAAAATCTACTGAGTATCTACTTGTATTGAGTCTATTTCCTCACTCAACGGTACTAGACATACACTCAAAAAACTGTTTTTGTGAGTGAATTTTGAAGGTAGTTTTCACCCCTAGGACTTTCAATTTGGTATGCGAGAGAAGTACAATAGATCAAAAAAAGGAA